GATGGAGGGTTTGCTGGGTAGATAGGAATTAGCAACCAAATGTTTTAGATGCTGGTGGAAATGTGTCTGCAGGGGCGGTTGGTGATGCTGTGAGCTCTGTGCACTGCCCTGGTTGTGTAAGAGAGCTGGTATTCATTTGACAGGTTTGCTCAAAACTGGGAAATAACAGCGTATGCAGTATCAAGATGTGATTGTCAGAGTGGGTCTGCATCAGCTTCTGACCATGGCTTGTGCATTATTATTTGTCAATTTGTAAATTTATTTGTACTTTTTTTTGTTGTTGTTTGTTTATGTGGAGGGGAAGGCCCTAGAAGAGAAATGTTATTAGCAGTAAGCCTCTTGTGAATGGATTGAAAATTGTGGCTGCAGCTCATATCCATCCACAGAGGGCTTTTCTAGGGAAAGACATTCTCTACAAATTTTCATTATGCCTCTCGCTGGGCATTTGGCTGGGGAATCCCTGTGTGCCCAGAAGGGCTCATCTCAGGCTGCACATGCTCTTCTTTGCACAGCAGTAATATAAAATGATGCAGCTCGAGTGAGACTGCAGTTCCAGCGCAGACGTGCAGCCTTGTTCTCCCACATTACAGAAATGTAGCGCTCTCACTTGTGTGTAAATCCTGTTTTTTCCCCAGAAACTCCTCTAGGTGCCTGTGAGGAGGTGCAGGTAAGGTCATTGCCAGGTGTTGGATCACCCCCAGCTCCCTGACCCTGCTGTGCTCCTTTTCACTCCTCTCCCTGCTGCCCTGCCAGCAAAAAAGAAGCGTGCTGATATCCCGACAGCAGGCAGGGCGAGGCATTTCCCAACATATAGAGCCATGGAGCTGCCCTCCTTAGGGGGATGCTGCAAATGAGAGAAGGGCTATGCTGCTAAAAAAAAAAAATAAACGGAGTTTCTGCTGTTCATTTTGCCCCGATCCCATTTTGTTTCTTGCTGTGTGACTGCTTTATAAAATTTCCCTGCATCCAGATTTCTGGAGACACTGCAGCTTTCTGCAGAAAGTCGTTCTGAGGATCAGGGAGCTGAGAGCTGCTACGGCAAGCTACCTATTAATGTTGCTAAGGGTTTGAGTTTTGTTATATTAAATGTATGTCAGTAGTCAAGTAAAATTTCAATTAAATTTTATCCTCCATGATACCAAGAAAAGCACTGTTATCTTACAAAATATTCCCATCCCTGGTGGGTGCAGCTTTGTGCTGATTTTTAAGAAACTAATCATTCTATGCCAAATATGTATAATGTGAATTGCTGCTTTTTTGTTTCCCTTTAGATACCTACAGCATGACTATAAATACACAGTAATAAAAAACCAAAATTCTTAAGCAGTCTTCTCTGAAAAGAATTGCAGTTTCTTAAATAATGTCTAAAAGGAGATGTATTTGTGCATTACACATATTTCATTTGTGTGATGAAATAATAATGCCTGCCTGTATTTTAATCTGGCATTTGGTCACTGTAGCGCACAGAGATAGAGCAGTTTTCTGATTGCAGAGCTGGGATTCTCCAGCAGATGCAGAATTGTTTTCAGCACGGCAGAGTGCTGTAGCCGAGGAAGAGACAAAGCTGTTCATTGTCAGACAAGGGTTTATCTCTCTGGTTGCCTGTAGCGTACGGTTTGTAAGTTAGGATATGACTGAGTGTCTGTATTTGTAAGGCTGCTATAGAAATCTGCGTGTGCATTTGGAATGCAATTTTTCAAAAGAAAGCTGGATGTGCACTCCCGTATGCAGTTAGTCATTTCACTATGATGCTTGTATCATGAAAGCTCAACAACTGTGCTACAAAAGAAACAGTATTATGATCATTTGTCTTGCTTTCCCCAGGATTGACAAATTCATTGTGTATCAATACATCAAAAGAAGTTTATATGGTAAAGCTGTTACATCAGAAGAAAACCAAAACATTTGATAAAAGCAAGCTATCCTATATTCATAACACCTAACAGCATTTAGGAAGACAGCATCCAATTTAGACCAAACCCTATAAACTGTATTATATCAGCTACGTTATCTCACACTGCGGATTTGGCTTGTTATATTTGCTTCCCATGTTTTTTGCAAGCTTTGAAAGAAAAGGTTTGTTCAGATTTCTTAATAAGATCAGCATCACATTTCAGTGGACAGAGAATGACTGGGTCTGCATTACTACGGCGGTCTGAATATTTTATTGAGAGAAAAAAGCTTTTGTCTATGGTTTAGAAAATGCTCTGCTGCTTTTCTGTAGCCAGAATATTCCTTAAAGTAGCTGAAAAAACAGAAAAAATTCCTTAAAGTAGCTGAGGAAACAGAAGAGGCAGCCTGCCATGACAATTCATGCTGCTTAAACAGCATGGAAAATACAAGACTGACATCAGGCTTCAGAGCTACCCAGAGCAACTGGTCATCTAGGGAAAGAGGATGGGACTGGGCATGCAGGCAAGGGTCAGCTGGGAGAGAGGATGGCCAAGCTGCAGGAAGGAGTTGGAAAGGAAAGTCAGGAAATTTTGGAAACTTCTGATGGGAAAGAGAGATGGCTTTGGCTGAAACTGTCAGCTGGGACTCTGAGGACCTGGGTTCAGTATTCACTTTGGCTTGGAGTCCCAGCATCACAGTAAGCGAAACAACTTCAATATTTCTGTCTTGTCCTTGCCCGTGGTGCCTTAGAGGAATTAGTTCATCTGTACACAATAGCCAATAGGTGAGGCTTTACACACAGTTGGAAATACAAGTCAAATTGCTCCTCAAGACCATCTTTCCTCAAGATGATCATAACAGGATAAAGAACTTTTGATCTACAAGAGATCTATGGATCTCTACAAAGATCCACAGATCTTTGTGGAGTTCTTAGAGAAAGGGGTCGTGGAAAAGTGGTTTAGGGCAGTGAGGTGGCCAGAGCTGAAGAAGCATCTGGACACGGACACTCCCAGACGCACCGTCTGATTTTTGGGTGGTCCTGTGTGCAGCCAAAAGTTGGACTCGGTGATTGTCATGGGTCTCTTCCAACTCAGATATTCTCTGATTCTGTAGAATTTCCATGGGAAATTCCCTGGTAGCATTCCTGTCTGCTCAAGCCTCCATCACCTTTCCCAACAACTTTAACTTTTATCCTGTCCTGGCACAAATATTTTCCTTTATTTTTCATCTGATTTCAGCATATGTGCAACTTCCAGTATCCAAAAAATGTATGTTATCTATTGCAAGAGGAATTACTTTTCTTTCCCCCATTGACATCAGTCACAGGTGCAAAAATCTTCCCGACTCTGTGAGGGGGTTATGGAGTTGCAGACGCAGCACTGCAAAAGGGCTAAAGGTGTTCAAAGTCTGTATAGACTCCAGTGAGCACAGAGGCACTCTTCCACCTTTATTTTCACACCACGCTGAGGGGAGAGACCACCAAACTGAAATTAGCACACCTCAGCAAGCACCTGGAAAAGCAGAAAGGAGAACGTGTGTTCCAGAGGGGATCTGCACAACTAAAACTCCATTGTTTTGATTTGTACAAATATTTCAGTTTTACTGAAAAAAAAAAAACCAAACAGGCATAGAGGGATGGCCTCATCTTCATGCTATGCCACAAGAACACTCCTATGAGATTTTTTTTAATCTTTCTTTTTTTTGAATACACACTTTTATGGTCTAAACACGAAAATAATGGATGTCTCCTCAAAAATCATTGTGCCCAAAATGCTAGCAGAGATGACTTCTTACCAAAATTATGGTGTGCTTTATTCCAGCACAGCCCATGTTATTAGCCCAAAATTGCAATTGATGGAACAGCGTGCCAAAGATTTTGTCACTGATTATCATTCTTTTCAAGAGAGAATGCTTGTGATTTGGGCTGAAATATGTTAATAACTGTAAACCGTCCACATGTGAAGAACTCAGCACTTCATGCTCCTCCCCATCCCCCCCAGAGCGGGCAATGTGATACACCACCTGGCAGGCACTCGCAGAGGTAAGGTGGATGTTCCACAGCATCTCACAGAGTGAGTGATGTGGGTAGCAAGGTGCTGAAGGATGCAGTGCTGCTGCTGCCTTTGTACACCGAGCAACCTGGGGATGTGGGCTGGAAGGAGCTCTGCTGCTGATGTACTGAGCGGCTCAGCTCTGCGATGCTTCCGTACCAAAATGACAAAGTTTGCATGCAGATTTCTTTGTTTCTATACAAATCCATCCTTGCAAAACAGCAGCTTAAACACACACGAGAATAACTCAGAATTATTTTCATACAGCTTTAAAAAGATTGAGAAAGAGGGGGAATGCTGACTGCTCAGAGTGATGCAGAGCTGTTGCAGCCTATTCATCCCAAATATCCAGTCGCGGTTTAATTCCTAGATGCACTGTATTCCCTTTCCTATATAATCAGCCTAATTTGTCTTCAGCTGCAAGCAAGTGAACCAAGCTTCATTTAGTCAAGCAAGCTAAGCAAAAACATTCTTTGCTCACAGATGGGTGAGCCAGCCGATATCTTAAGATAAATGACGGGAATTTTGTGTCCTTTTTGTAACGAGTGGAAGGAATCCTACGGACAGAAGAATGACAAAACAAATTCTGTCCCTCTCTGTTTTTAATTAGTTAAACAGAGAAAGACTAATAGATCTCATCCTGGAATCTGGAGTCCTAATTTGCAATATTGGATGTTGTTTTGACTTAAACTGGCACTTTTAACAAATAGACTTTTCACTGGAGGTTTTCAGAAAGACCATGTGTAGTATTAGATGAGAAGTACTTAATTAATGTAGGAAAGCGCCAACAAACTATCAGCCAGCTCTGACTTGTCTTGGATTTGAAATAAAAGGTATTTGCTCTGTGCTGCCTGCCTGGCAATTACCACTAAATGTGTATGGATTTAGGCCAATTCTTAATGAAAAAGGGGCCAGCTAACAATAAATGTCCCCCATGTTGCCTTGGGTTGCGCTGATAGAGCGGTGAATGAATCAAGCAAAATGCAAACATGAAATCTGGCTGACCCCAGGGCACCCAGGGGAGGCCGGTGGTCGGCTGCAGCACTCCTCATCTTCATGCCCTGTCCTATGGCACCTCCAGTACCCAAATCTGCTGTCACTTATCTCTCCAGCATAGCCAAGAGATTTGCAGAATAGCTGTGAGAAGGCATCGTGTTGTCCAAAGGAGCACATGCACAGGAAAGCGCTGAAAATTCAAACCCTTTTAACCCCCACAGTCACAGTGAATACTAGCAGAGTTAGATGACCATTTTTCAGAACTATCCTTGCTCCTGATTGCATTCAGCAGAAAGCAGGCAGGGAGGTGCCTTGCCAGGCTCTAGCATTTTCTCTGTGAATGAGCAAATGCTTCAGAACTATTCAGTCTGCCTCAATACTGCATCGCAGTGCTGTGCTCCCCTAGCAGCAGGGCAGAAATAGAATCACAGAATCACAGAATATCCTGAGTTGGAAGGGACCCACAAGGATCATCGAGTCCAACCCCCAGCTCCACACTGGACCACTCAAAATTCAAACCAGGGACCTTAGCTGCCCCTCATGCAACTTGCTTTTCAAACCCTTCACCATCCCTGTAGCCATCCTTTAGACACTCCCTCATAGCTTTACATCCTTCTTATATTGCAGTGCCCAAAGCTGTACCCAGTGCTCAAGGTGAAGCCACACAGAGAGAGTGGGACAACCCCTTGCCTCAAGCAACCTTTCCTGCTCATCTCCATCTTCCCAGGAGGAATACACGCAGTGGAGCAAGAAAGGACAATGTGTGTCCTCTGCTCTCAGCCCAGGGACACCAAGGGCACAGTGATCCCATCTGCCTGGGGCTGCAGAGAAAAGAGGCAGCATTTGCTTTACAGCCTCCAGAGAAGAAAACTTTGCAGAGATGAAGTTAGTTTAGTTCTTCCAGAGACTGCAGAGGGAACACAAATACTGTGAAAAGCACAAACATCCTACCAGCCCTCAGGGAAAAGGCTTTTGGTCACTAGAAGGAGGGATGACTGCCTTGAGACTGGTGAGAAGCCAGGCAGCTGGATCTCCCTTTTCTGACTCCCACTGTCTGTCGTCATGATCCCCTTCTCCATAGCAAGCTCCTTTAGGACTTTGAGCAGCCAGAAGCCAAAGTGTGTACTGCTCCTCCCAGAACACTGGCAATGCCAGAGTATGCTCTGAAAGGGACACAGGGAAGAAGGAATGGGTTGGCAGCACACAGTGTCTGCAAGGAGGGTGACAACTGCTCACCAAATGCACGGGCACAGGGTGGGAAGGAACAACACTGGAGGAAGTGAAGGCCTCTTGTGCTGGAAATGCCTGTCTGAATGTTTGTTCTCTGTACGTTGTGAGAGATCATTGCCTCTTTCATTTGTCTCTGAGATTCATTTTTTTCTGTTTCTATCATAACCACTGAAGTTTTCTAATGAGCACCATCACTGGCATCAAATGAAAGCAGCGAACAATGAGTTTATGCCTTCAGATGCAAATAGAGCTGCTTGCTCCTCACATGCAACTCCCACTGCACTTCTCTGAGTATCTGCTGAAATCCAGAGGTCATGTCACTACCAAGATAGAGTCCCAGGAAGAAAAATGGGTGCTGCCAGGCTGTTGTGTGGTGTAAATCCTCCTTCTGTGAGGTTTGTGGGGATTGTCCAGGCGCGCCCTAAATTATCTACTTAGAAAATAAATTCTGTCTAGGTTAGCCAAGCATAGCAGCCAAATGAGGATTTTCCTGCCATAATCTCCAAGGCAGAGGAGTGGAATAAGCTGCAGCTCTGGGAAGGGCTGGTCATGCTCCTTGCTGGCCACTCAGCAATGGGATCACGCTGTCACCTGCAGCCCTCAACTTTGCCTAGTAGCAGTGCACAGCCAGCAGCCCTCATACTGGCTGACTCCAGGTGCCCTGGGGGAGCAATCTTCTGCTTCTACCTGCAACACTGCTTGCCCCTATTAATCCCCTCTGTCCCAGTGCCAAAACTCAGCCCACTGCCATTTGGACCAGCAAACTGCTCTTCTTTCTGTTTTGTTTCTGAAAAAGCAAACTTTTCATATATTAAATATTTGCAGGTACCAAGTAGTGCATGTAACTGAAGAAAGTGGTTAATTTTCGAGCACAGGGGGTTGTGCGCAGTATCAGAATTCGTTTTGCTTTTTTAAACCAGACATCCAATTGCCACTAATACAGTTCAGACATGAAGCAATATTTATACCAGAGAGAAAAAAAGAAATGCATTGATTGACCAAAACGTGCTATGCCTCTGAACACTGTGCAGCGATCCAGCCAGCAGCAAAACAAATAACTTATCGTAGCATTGGAATTACATGCACGTAGTGGGAAATTCTTCTTTCGTTGTTCACAAAAGGACTTGATCACATGCTATTATTCCAAGAGTAGCTGAAATCTCTGCAGGCCTTTGCTCTGTAATCTAAAAAGCCCTTTGCTTTATACTATCGTGGGCTTTGGCAGCTATAAGAAAATGCAGAATGATGGCTGTGCTTGTATTGATTATCATCCTAATTCTGCTTCCAGTGGAGTCCATCACAAACCCGCCGCAGCCACCCATGGGAGTGAGTGCAGGCTGTGTATAATTGCAGTTGCTTTAATATAAATTTACTTGACGCTTGAAATGCTGCATTCCTGCTGCAGTTATGCTGCTGAATGGCATTGGATTAACTGACTCCTGGGAAAAGGCCGAGACCCCTCTTGCTCCCATGCTCTGATTTTCTGCCTGAAGTGGGTCCTGCAGCCCCATGGGGGCTTTTCTCCGCTCCACCTTTGCCCTCTCCATTCTGTCACCTGTGAGATTCCTCCGAGGTGTCACATCTGTGTGATGGATGCACTGCCCATTGGCAATTGCTCATTTTGACACCCTGCATTACTTCTCTGCTTCATGCCTGGATCCTTACGCTGTTATTTATTTTACAACCTCTCTGCTGACTTCAACTGTCAGTCACTCCAAGTTCTCTTTGCTGGCCACCTCTTTGGCCTGCTTTGCTCAGCTTCCATCCCTACTTCTGGGTCACAGCAAATAAGCATGCTTTGCTTGAATGCCTCCTTCTTCAGGAAGAGCAGAAGGTTACATCTCATATTCCTAAAGCTAATCAGTGTCCTTTATCAGTTCCTTATATTGTCCAAACACAGTATGTATGGCCATTTAGTCTTGCCAGTAAGGCACTGTCTGCTGACTTTCATTCAGTTGGCACAAGGGGTGGCTACAAGGCCATGGCTTTATCCAGAGTCTATTTTAGTTTTGTGGGCTGGGCGGAGAAACAGTAGTGGAGACATTTCAACCATTGCTAAAACCCGCATCACCCTGATGCTTTGCTGTGCAGAGGAGCCCACACCAGGGAAATTCACCTCCTCCCAGCTCTCTTGCAGAGCATGCCCTAGAGCACAGCCTGTGAACAATAATCTGTGCATTGCCTACTTCTGCAAATCTGAGCAAGCTAGAGAAAACTGATAGGGGATCCTGGGTGCCTCCGTGCACCTGCTAATTATGAACTGGAACCTATGCTGCTTATGGAATCACTTTTCCTTCTGTCTGCAGATCAACAGCTGCCAGTCAGCGCGGCACCCAAACTGTGCACAGAGGTGCTAAAGGAAGAGGAGGAGCAATGTATCATCACTGACTTGTTTTTCTCTGCAGATAAATGGTTCTGCCCTAGAAGATCTAGAATATTTCAAAGCATCACTTGGAAATGCTGATGAGGGAATTGATGGGTACGGGGTGAGAGCAGGTAAGACTTGAGAAAACATGCATCTCCAAAGTAGAAAAGTCTCAAATTTGTATTCTAGAAAAAGACTTTTCTCACAGCTGAGCTGTTGCAGACAAATACATGAACAATCTCCAGGCAAATATCAGCAAGTTACATCTATCCCTGCAAAAATCAATGAGGCTATGAGACAACTGTGGGGGAGGGCTGCACAAGCCAGTGGACAGGTATGTTCAAGAGTGATTACGAGGCCTCCCCTCAGCTCCTCTGCTCTGGGCTAAACAAACCAAGGAACCTCAGCCACTCCTCATACATCTTGCTCTCTAGATCCTTCTATATCTTCTTCCTTCAACCCCCTCCCCAAGCCAGTTTGCTGGAGGACCAGCTGCCCAGTGTCCAGCCCTGCTGAGAAAGAGGCACTGACAGGGCTGGAAGTGCAATGATCATCCATTGGGTCTAGAGAAACTTCTTGTCGTTTTGCGAGTTTTGTTCTTCTGACAAACAGGAGTTATTTGAAACGTATTTGCATAGCAAACATGCATTAAAATGCATGAGGCATGCAGGGCTGTGGCTGGTGGAAGAAAAACACATGCAATTCACGGAAACCATAGACTGTTATGACTCCAGAATTGACATATTTATATGCTTGGCTGTTCTTAGATTTGTTATTTTCTATTTGTCAAATTGAACGTGTGATACATACATATCACGACAGACCTTCCCTACCTTTCACTGAGGATCTTTCAACGCAACCAATGCCACACCACTGGTTTCAAAGCAATGACTCCCAGGCAGGGACTGGATGCCCCACGGGAGATCCCACCCAGCCTGAAGGAGGAGTACACTTGCCAACCTAAGATATTTCTTCAGAATTAATTGGGCTACAAATCACAGCCAGGAAACAAATACAAACCCTGTGTGACATGTCCAACTGAGACAGTATTCTTAATCCTTTTGCAGTTATCTAAACACAGAAGAAAAAAAAAATAAAAAAAAAATAAAAATTAAGAATTGCTTTGCAAAGGATCAAAAAACATTTACTGAGGCACAGCACAAAGAAATGAACCTCATGAATCTGCCCCCACAAGTTCTTCACTGGCCAACAGCTGGCTCGTTGCAAAGACTCAAATTATGGGATAGGTTCTGCTCTGCTGATGAAGTATCCTGTCATTTTGATTGTACAGACAATGGGACAGGATGCCAAAGGATGCACTGATTGACCACCTGTTACAGCTGGAAAGATTAGAGTGGTGAAAACAGGAAAAGAAGCAAACAGGGAAGGAATGCTCACCTCTGTCTGAAGAGGTAGGTTTGCAGGAAAGACTTCACAGAGGAAGGATATCCAGCAAGAAGCCATTCTCCATAGCAGTCAGCCCTCAAATGGGGTCTAGGAAAGATGCAACCAGTCTCCAGCCCTTCCATCACACAGCTGAATCACCTTCACCTGTGCTCCAAGGCTGACTCAGTGCTCGCCTCAGGTGGTCAATCAGTTCCCATACACCACCAATGACACTGCCAGACATGAGGCATGGGCTTCAGTGGTCAGGAATGTGGCAGGTGCATGAGAGCTGCGAATGGGGAGAAGCAAAGAAGTGCCTTTTGTCCAGAGTATGAGGCCATAAACTGACAGCCTGTGACTTGGCAGAGGTGTGATAGAAGAGCCTCATTTTATGTGTGAGATAGTAGAAAGAGAAGCTGTAACAGCTTCAGGCAAGGAGGTCTCTCTCAAAACAAAACAAAAACATACAAGAAAGATACTGTATATTTTTAATGTTTGTGTGGCACTCAGAAGCTGGAAATCATTGTAAGAGCCACATATTAGTTCCCTAATGTGTAAAACGGTGACTAATGCTATTACATTCTGTCATACAGAAGCCCTTGGGATGGAGATTCAAAGAGATGCAACAAATAACCACAAAATAAAATTAAAAAAAAAAAAAAAAGGACGGGGAACAAAATCCCTCCTCCCATTTCAGTGCAGATGTGCTGACTAACAGTTGGCTCACCTGGGCTCCTCTTCCTGCTTCACCCTTCTGTGCTGGAACTGCCCCTTCAAGCTCATCCTCCACCAGCACTCCCAGCATCACTCTACTCAAGCACCTCCCAGGCTCCATCCCAGGGATCCCTAACATCTCTCACAGATGGAGGAGCCTTGCCAGGCCCTGGCTGAAGGGGCTGGAATGCAGAGTGGTGTGAAAAGCCCACCCATAGAATACAAAAAAAGCTCTAGGATTTTTTTTCCCTAAGCCCATGTATAATAAGCTGAGCTTGATGAAATGTGCTGGATGAATGCATCCTTCGTGTGGCTGTTTCTAGAGGAGTGATTTTTTTTTATTTCTCCTTTTAATTAGCCAGGCTTAAATTAGCAGCATCTACTGTTGATATTCCTCCATGAACAGCGAGAACATTTTCAATCAGGAGCCTTATTAATATGCATAAAAGTGATTTGTTTTGATTTCAATCTGGAAGGGTCTCTTTCCCCCAAGTTTCCATTTCTGCTCTAAACGAAGGTGGAATCACAGTGCAGTGGCCACATACACATATATGAGAGCTCCTATTACCTGGGGAAACCCTTTGCAGGGAGTTTCAGGAACTCCCACCTGGGCCAGCAGTTATTCTGCTGTGTTTTTCTGTGCTGAAACAACAGCCCAACTTGGGATGGAGTGGGCTTGCCCAGGCTGCTGTGCTCCATTGATGGATTATTACAATGAACAAAACAAAACTCTTTTTGGTGTTTTTTTTTTGTTTGTTTTTTTGCTTCCCAGCAGCTCTGAGGCTCCTCTCAGTGACCTCTTCTTCTTCCAAACGGTGGTTTTGAGCAATAGGAAAATATAGGCGTTTTTCCATCAATTCCTGAGCTGCTGCCCCAGCATTTGTACACTGATGCTACAGAGGACCAATGCAGCTCTGTGTGCAGAAACACTCCCCATGCCTTATATGATGGAGGCCTCCCCTATGCAAATGGAAGTAGGCGGTGGGTGCAGAGCACCATGCTGTCCCCAGGTATGGAGTGGGTGCTGCTCCTTGCCCAGCCCCAGGCTCACATGCAGAACGCCCACAGCACCCACCGGTTCAGCTGCGGGATTTTCCTTGCATTCAACAGATGCACATTTTAATTTCAGCTTATCAGAAGTTTTCCTCACTCCCAATTAATGCCAGTTTTTATGTGGCTTTTTTTTCCCTCTGAGAAAACCCCAGTTTCTCACTGTTAATCTCAGTTACATTCAGTAACAGTGCCTGATTCTTCTTCTTATGATTATTTTTTCAATGAAAGTGTTTCCTGCCTGGACTTTCTTCTAAGAATGTATGAGAAAAACTCCATTCTTATTTCCTAAGAGACTCAGTGGGCCCTGGTCACGTGCTTAAATCAGAAGACAAGACCATATTCTTCAGATGTAGGTTACTCAGATTCATGCCAGGTTTGAACCACACAGGTTGCGCACAGCAGTGATTCACACTGCATAGATGTGCCGTAGGCCGGGTGTGTAAGAAATACACCATGGCTCCTCCTCATGGGCAGAGAGTGCTGCCTTTGGGGGTTCTGTCCCATCTCCCATCACTGCAGAGCAGTTGTGAGGAACCTGGGTATAGGAGCCATGGGACAGACTGGTCACAGAATTAGAATATCCTGATTTGTAATGGACCCATGATGACCATCAAGTCCAACTCCTGGACTGATGGGCTGCTGATGGACAGAGTGGAGGATGTTAGGTTGGCACGATGACAACATGCTGTGGTGCTGCAGCCCTTGGATGTGGCTAAAAAGCCTGTGAAGAAAGGACTCCCCAGACATTGCCCTCAAATGGAAGAGTCTTGTGATCACGAGGACAAGAGCATTGCCTCTAAATGACGTCTGTTTTCACAAGTTGGAAGGAGAGGCTTTTGATGTGTTTCCAGTGTGCCTTTCTTCTCCTGCATCTCCTGCCCCAGGGTTTCCTGGTGAAGGAACTGGAGCTCTGTGTCCCCAGAAATTAAAACAAAAACTGGCTTCTGCGGTATTTCCTGAAATGTGTTTTCATCTCATGGATCTGTCCTAACAGCAGCCCCGAAGCAGCAAAGGTTTCATTTTCATCTAGAAGCGATCAAAAGCAACATCAGCAGGGAATAAATACACAAAGCCACGCTGCAGGGATATTAGCTCACATGACAAGGCGGTGCCTTTTGGTTTACTGAAAAAGAGTGGCTTGCTCCATCTCTGTGTGTTTTGGGCACTTTGCTCTGCTTGTGGAGAAGTGAGACGCAGAGCTGCCCAGGACAGAGCAGCCTACTGAAACCCAGCAGAAATCCCGTTTGGGCTGCTCTGCTCCCTTGCCTCCAGCCCATGCACCTGCAGGCTCACCTTCACATCGTGGGGGATTTCAGAGTTACATCCACCAAAGCACACACTTCACCCCCACGACAGGACATGCGATGCCATTCCCTCAGCATGGGAATGTGCCATCAGGAACAGCCATCAGCACCGCTTCCCTTCCCCTCTGATCAGGTAAATGAGATGCTTCCACTCTGAATCCAAGGCTGGAAGACAACACACCTTTAATTCATGCAGTAAAACTTTAAGGGCTTTTTTGGCACCACAGCTGCAAGAATGCAATGAAATGCTGCTGGGTGCAGACTAGCTGAAAGGGGGAAGGGATCAAATCCCACTCCTGGGGGAAAGCAGCCGCTACTGTCACCGCAGAGCTGTCACAGGAGATGCTGCCACTGTGCCCCTGAGGTGGGACAAGGCAAAACAAAACAGAACAAAAGTTTAGGTGGAACAACCAAATAATGAATGAGATTTATTGAAGTTTAATGAAGAACACGGCTGTGCAGTGTGGGAGTGCTGGCCATGGAAACAAGCAGCTCCAATGCAGGGGCTCCCCCAGAGCACATGAGATTTTTATTCCCAGGGGTTTTCCATAAAGCATCTCTAGAGTTGAAGTAAGTGCTGCACCATGTGGCTGTCACTATGGAAACGAGTATTTTTACACGGTAAAAAATAGTCCCATAAAGCTCCCATAAGCTGCTGGTGCTAAAGCCACTCGGTGAGCCACGTGGCTACGGGAGAGCAAACGGTGCCGCTTCCAGGAGGGTGGTGGTGGTGGTGGTGGCACCTGCTGGCACTGGGGAAAAGAGCACCTGACCTCATTCAGTTCTACCACCTATGCACGGTGCCAATGGGGCCCGCCCCTTTATATGCTGCTTTATAGCCTCTATCCTGACAATGTGCGAGCTGCAAGCGTTGCCAAGCCTCTCCTGCAGACTTGGTGGCTGATGCTTGGTGCTATTCTCTAGTGTCACTCCACTGCACAACAGGTCGGTTCAGCTCCACTTATTTGTATATTGGAAGCATGATGGAAGCATTTGTATATTGGAAGCATGATTGGAAGCATGGAAGCATACTGGAGGACCTCTGGACAAATGTCAGGCACTGGAACGGGCTGCCCAGGGAGGTGGTGCAGTCACCAACCCTGGAGGTGATCAAGAAATTTTTAGATGCTGTACTGAGGAACATGGCTTAGTGAGCAGATACTGGTGGTAGGTGGACAGTTGGACTAGATGATCTTGGTGGTCTTTTCCAGCCTTGGCGATTCTGTGTTACGGTATATTTTGGGGAAACTATCCAGACTGCAATACTTAACAGGATCCAGGAGGCACTGGGAAAGTCTCTGGGTGTACCCTCCGATTCCAGCTTTAGGGCCATCCGAAGCCCAGTGCAGCACATGTTCTCCATCCCAGCAGCCAGAACTCCAGCTGAACAAGAACTGCGGGCACTTGCTTAAGCATTAACATTCACAGAAATGTAAAACTCATATTGAGCTATTTATTCTGTGCATTCACCTTTCATCGCAGTACGTGCTAAAATTAAGTACTTCTAACTGCTGAATGGAGCAAACAGAAATTGCTTCCATCATCTAAAGCTGACAGCCGGCTATTCAGCCCTCCATCCTCCCTACTGGATGGCATGATCAGGTTCCTTAATGACGAGCAAGAGCGTTTGATTTTCAGCAGCAGTACCACATTATGGCACGCATTAATTTGCTAGGAAATCATTTTAGGAGAACATAAAGTGTGATAGATTCCAGTTAGAAACACTAAGTACAATAAAGTACAATAAAGGCCCCCCAGGTACCTCTGAAATGTGACATCCCAAGAAATTCTTTCACAAAAGGAGCTGGAAACAAGCCGCCTTACCCATACCATATCTCCACACCTCATAGTTAAGGGAAGGATGGAGATCATCCACCAGGTCATCTGTCAGCAGATATTAAGCATTAACCTATTTCAAATGTTATGTGTATTTGCAGACAGGAACTGAATAGGTCAAAGAGGCTTCTGGTTCACAAAGAAAGATGAAATGGTATTTAATGCTGCATCTGAATAGCTGCCCATGTAAATAGAATATGTGTGCAGGAGTAAGAGAGGTTACGTTGTTGTAACCTTCTGTTTCTAAAGCCTTGCATTATTTTATCCTTTGAAACAAACCTTAGGTGAACAAACCATACAGCTGTCTTACAGGTAGCGAGCTTTAAAACCAGGTTACAATAAACAGAGACCAGGACACAGAGGACACATTTTGTTAGAAGACAAGTTTAATAAAACAGACTTCTTACAATCACATTGACATCGTCATACTCATTCCTGCCATGGTGCCTGAACTTCAAACATTCCCTCTCATTTCTCTCTAATCAATGTAAAAACACCATGGCTAACTAGCAAGATCAGGCTGCCCTCTCCTAATGCATGAGAAGCGCCCCATACAGCCCCCATATGCCCTTCATGGTGTAGGCTAAGGGATATTCACTATGGATGAAATTTGGGGTTGCTTCTGTATGAAGCTCTCCTGAAGGGGAAGATGAGGACATGTGATGCAGCCACCCATGTGCCTCTGTGCACGTGCATTTCCAGACTGTCCGTGCTATTTTTGATCTCGTGTGTATTCTCACTCTCCCCTGCATCTATCTCCCTGCCAGCATCACATACTGAGGATGAGACTGAGGTAGTTTATACTACTGGCTTGAGCTGAGTTATGATAACAGGAAAAGAAAACTTCTATAAAATCCTTAATTACTTCTATGCTACCTTGCTTGCTTTCTCTTCTGTTAGCTTTACACCCATGCAAATGTTCATGACAGACGGGAGAGCAGGCAGCCAACACACAGGAGCGCACAGCCAGTCTTACTTGGGGAGGGAGGAAAGGGAAAGCCCCACCAGTGAGAAGCCCCCACTGTCCTGCATCTCAGAGCAGAAAGCTGCTTCCACAGATCAGAACCAGGCAGCTTTAGTGTCATTTCCAAGGAATGTGGCCACAGCATCCTTTATAGAAAGAATGTACTGAGGTGTTCCAGCAGGGCAGGGACCACAGCCATCTCTGCTGGGAGATGTGCCTAGCATACAGAGACTGCTTCCATACTTCTTCCCCATTCACACAGCACACAGGAGCCTAAGGACTGGACCCACAGAGACGTTTAGGGGGCCTAACTTCTATTCCAGACTTCCATGGGAGGCCGGTTACCTAAAAAGGAGTAGAGCGCCTGATTACCTTAGCAGGTCTGGGCTCCCCTGGCTGTGCCCGTGCTGGGACCCTCACTGCTCCTCTGGCTGGTGTAGAATTGTGGTGCAGTGCCACCCTGGTGTTGTGAAGTAGCCGTTCTCCGACTGGTGACGGCCTGATTCACAACACCAGCTGCTGCACAGCACCTGGCAGGGCCCTGCGTCCTCTGTGCTCCATCCTCATCCTGAAAAGCAAAGAGAGGGTTACATCTGTCCATCCCACAGGTTGCACGCTCCCACCTGCTTACAATGACACTGAAGTACTACAGCTGAACTTCTTCCCCCAGAAATGACAGACAGATTCTGCACTTGAGATCTGCTGCACTGTAAGACTGGCTGCTGTAGTGTGATGCAGGTTCAGCTGCATCCTCATGATCCACATCCTGTGTTCATCTCAGGAGGCTCACAGGCCGGGGATGTAACCTAGAAACTCAGCCCAGCCCCAAGAGGCACAAAGAAACAGGCTGCTGCATTTTCACTGATGCCAAGATGCTGTCAGAAGGAGAACGGTGCCGCAGGGAGCATGCGGCCTCTTGGGCACTGTGCTGCTGTTCAGCCTCATACCCTTCAGCACGTGCCCTGCCTGGGGTGGGTAGTACACCAGCACGTGCCTGGCCTGTCCCCAGGGTGGTGGCATGAGAGGTACTGCCTACAGGCTTAAGGGTCCTGCTGGAACCAAGGGAGACTCAATCTGGAGGCCCTGTGCTCCCCTGCATGGCCCTATCCCTCAGAGATGTGTGGAAGTTGAGAGATGCAATTCACTGCTGACCGCCAAAGTCTTCAGATTGATTTCCCTCAAAATGCTGCACGTGTGGTACAGTGACTCACTTGCAATGGTCAGGTCGTTCTCATCACCTCACGGGCTGCTAACTTATCCACACTATGAAGCAAACAACAGGCAAACACTCAAATCTCGTATGTGCATTAAGGACTTTCCTTAGCAACCAGAGCTCAAAATAAAACAGTTTCTGTCACCCAGCCTGGGACTGCCACTGTGGTGAGGACCAAATGCAGGAGTCTTTAAGCAAAACAGGGAGAAAGCATGCGATGTGGAGCCTGGCACATCTCCAGGGAGAAACTGCTCCTTTTTAACAGTTCTGGAGCAAGTTTGGTGTGGAGACAAAACTTTCCACTTTTCTGACTGAAGGGAGTTATTCATGTGCTTCCCTATTTGATCCAAAGGAAAGCTCATGCACTGACTTTTCACTGCGGAGATGGGAGATGGGGTCACGACCAGTGCCTAAGCAAAGAAACTACAAACAAGTGGAGTAAGGGGACACCTCCCAGGTTCTATATTGGAGCTGCTGCACGAAACGGAGATGAATCTGACACCTCTGCACGTGCGTGCACTTGTAAAGCCTCAGCTATGTCATGCTGACAGAGCTTTTATTTAAAGAGCAGTTTCTGAAATTTTAATACACAGTGCTACAAGAAACAAAACAGCGTATTCATATTTTATGCAAGTCTATTATTCAGCTTCAACACGGGAAAGGAAGAGCCTGAAAGTGGAAGCCGTGCTCTGGCTGCTCCTGAGCAGCAGTGACTCGGCAATGCTGGCTGAAGGTGACCAGATGCTGACAGGTCCCTCCCTGCGTGCCGCAGCACTGCGCATGCTGGCAGGAGCACACTGTGTCACACCAAGAATAATGCCAAATGCATTCTGCACGTTCCCTGTTCCATGGGAACACTGAAGTCTGACAATGGTACTGTGGGTGGGAAAAGAAAAACAAATGATACGAGCTTTTTTCAAGGTTGTTTAAATCCTTATGAAACCTTTCACGCAATCTGCGTCCAAGTACAGCAGCGCTCTAAAAAGAAATCAATCTCCTGTATGCATCGCTCGCTGCCCAGAAGCCAATTTAAAAGCCTTTTCCACTAAGAACCAGTATTATGCACTCTGCAAGTGAGAAATGAACACTTAACCCAAGACTCTCTCTCCCCTCGCTGCACCAGAGATGGATGCTGCCTTTCTGCCTTTACTGTCACTGTCAAATAGTCCAACACGGTCTTAGAGCTCATCTGATCTGCACCCTTAGTATACAATTTTACAGTTTTTAGTCACCTATGGGCTATAGTTTTCATGTTCTCTGTGTGGTTCAAAAGCTTTCTTACCATTTTCACTCGTGTCCAATTTCCTCAGCACTGAGTAAGTGGCAGAGGAAGCACTGCACTCTCCCATGCCGGCTGGTGCTGTGAGCCCTGAGGAAAGACAACAGAACACATTTACTTTGGGATGAAGCTAATATGTATATATTAGCAGAAGAATCTCATATCCTATAAACAGGAAAAAAAACTTCTTTGTTTGCAGGGGGGGACCGATATGAGATCCAATAATGCAGATCACTCTCTCTAGGAATTAGCACTTTTTTTGGTTTAGAATCAGGAAAGAACATAAAGAAACCAAGGAGCTGCTTTCTTCACTCTGAATTGCTGCCTGGCGAGCCTGGTCCTCGGGTCCACACAGGACAGCAAGCGCAACTCCTCCAGCACAGCTCTGCTCTCACTGCTAATATTCCATGCAAATAGATTTCCTTGCTTTGGTCACAGCAGTCTATTAATTCAGCCCGCTTGTCTGGTACATCTTTATCCTCCGCAGGTTAATCCTGCCAAATTCCTTTGCTGTAGTACATGTCACACAGCATATAATATCCAACAATGCAATTTTGCTAATCCTGTTTTATCAGCTTTGTTGCTCTGTCTGGTCAATCCAACAGTGAAAAAACGCACGGAGGGTTTTTGCCAACATCTCCCCCTCTTTCGCCCTCCCGCCTCCCCAACTTTGCATGGTTTCAATTAAATGGTTTGAGAGCAGAACACACTGTTTGGATATCCGCCAATGTCCTTCAGACGCAGAATGTCAAGGCACTTAATTATATAGGTCTCCAAACTCTTTCAGATGCCCCACCTACCCAGCCTGCTGCATTTACTGAAGGCAAGTGTAAAAAATCAGCTCAGATCTCTTTTTAAAACACTCTCCACGCATTAAGGACTGGAAGATGGCTGAATAGCGACGTATTTATCGCCCATTATCTTACCGAAAGATTACACAAATGAGTGAAGACCGTCTCATTAACAGTTCTTTGTTGTCTTGTTTACTATTTAGTGGACTCATTAACATTAATCATTAGAAGAGGAACATCAATTATTGCAATAACCTTTGTCAAGCCGACTAAACTGACTCAAACAGCCAATGAGCCGCGCTTGTCAGGCAGGATTTGCATGTGCAAAGCGAAGAGAAAGGACAGCCGAAACGCGCTGCGACCGCGTGTCAGCGTTCATTCCGGCACCAGCAGACCTCCGGGAGGAAAATAAAAGGCGAAAGCCATGCAGGGCTGGACTCCAGCAGGCTCAGCTCCGCGGGGGAGATGCAGAGACATCCCTGCTTCCTCTTGCACTCCGCACGCCGTATTTATTACGCTGATTATTTTAGCGCGGGGACTTTGTGGCCCCCAGCAGTGCAGCACTAGGCTGTGTAGCCGAGGCAGGCTGCAGGCTGGGTGCCGGCCGGATGCTCACTGCCTTGCCAAGGGACGTTCTTGCACCTTATGGGATGCTATGGCTGGGGTAACCCGCTGATTTCTTCTTCCTTGAGGAAACCAGCCCCAGGTGTGGATCTCCTCCAGACTTAGCATTGCAGGAGTACTTCAAATCCTCCATTTAGTTCAGTAACTCTGGCAGGAGTTAAATATCAGCAGCAGTGCATCCATAATTTAGAAGACTGCCAGGAAGAAGGCTGAGTCACTAAGCTGGACCCATCACCTCTAACTGTGTTTCTCAGGCTAACTGCAAGTGTCCGCTTGTGCCCAAGAACAAAATGAGCCTTTTCGGAAGGACCCTGAGCCAAATCCATGGCTCGTAAGATTGTATTTGTACACAAATAGATACAAGGGCAGCTAGGCACCGCACTTCTTGCAGATGCTTCCATAGCTCCACGCTGCGAGCTGCTGGGAGAGAATAAGCAGAGCGCTCCCTGCGCCAGCCAGGTTTTAAAGGAAAAAAAAAGCTTTAATTCTGGGGAAGCCAGCCTGTGACAGTCACACTGTGTGCAGTGCTAGCAGAAGCCCTTCTCAGGGTCCCACAGCGCAGCCCCAGCAGGCCCAGCGCTGCCTCCACCAGCACTGCACTGGCTTTGTGTGGGTCTCCCTGCTCAGTGCAACAATTAAGCTGATTGCTAAATTAGCAATTCTGCCCTGCAGCCTTGTGGGCAGAAGAAGGTCCACAGAGATGGTGCAGGCCCTTCCCTCGGCAGGAATTGTGCTGACAGGACAGTCCATCCGTCTTGGCGTCTTTAGACAGCTGTGCTTACCTAGCAGAATGTAAACATCTCTGAACTTTGCTTACTGGATAAAAGGAAGCATTAGTTTCCTATTGCATTTCCTCCTGCAAGATCAATCATACATGCAGACTAGACAGAGCTTCCCTGTGTTTGTAATTAATCTCGTAAAGGAGGAACATCTCCTCTCCATCGATTGCTATATTTGTATGCAGCCTTCCTGCGAGACAGAGAGTGGAAGAGGAAAATAAGGGCGAGTAGCAGAATAATAATCAGCCGATCCCTTAATAAGGGCCTCATGTGCTGTACAGACACAGCAAGATGCTTCTTTGCTGGTTCTTTGTTGGAAAAATCACCTTCTAACAGAGCGACTGGGGACCTCAGCGTTGTTTCTGGATGTCCTGATGCCAGAGGAATGTGAAGTTCACAAAGAGTTTGGGGCTCTTTTTCCGACTTCTTTTTCCCAATCTCATACAGGTGTACTGCAAACAAGCCCAGTATCTCCCAGATATTCTGCTGCCTCTTGCAACGTGTCACTGCCTGCAGGCACCACAATTTGGTACCACACTGGTTGTACACCAAGCTCTCTACACAAAGGAGACTTCCACCAGCAGCTGTTCCAGAAATAGGTATCATTTGCATTTTCCTTAGCAAATACAGAATGTTTAAACCCCAGACTAAGGAAATATTTGCTAAAAAAGCAAAACGAAACAAAAAACACACTACAACCTGCTAGATCACAAAGAATCATTTCCTCCTTTCTGAGCATGTACAGGCACTGCACTCCTGAGGACAACGGCCTTGAGCCACTTGGATGGAAATGGGGCAGCAAGTGCTCTCCTACAGCTCCTCAGCTCCAGATCTGACCTGCTGCTGCTTTAGATCTATCTGTTTCATTGCACAAAATATGCTGAGCTCGCTGACATTTACATTGGGCCAGCACACTCCCAGTAATGAGAAAACAAATAGTCTCCCAGACATGGTCAGAGTGAACGTTCTCTTCTGGTAGGCACCATACTAGTCTGGGCTGTCACTGCCTGCTTTGATTTAAGGGAATAATAAACAGATTTGCTTTTTGAGTGCGACACTTGGACAAGTCAGAGCCTTTCCATGACTAACAGCAGCAGGACAGTGCTGTTACAGTTCACTGCAGAGCCCACCCTGTGATACCTCAGGGAACCTGTCTTGCAAGCTGGGAGATGAGGGCCTCGTGCCCGTGGAGTACTGAGCTGCGCTTCCTGACAGAAAAAAACAACCACTGTACATTTAAGGAAAATGATGTACAGCAATAGAGACAGCTCTTTGCAAAATAAAGTGCAGGATGGGTATTATCTGCTGCATGAAAAGCACCGTGGAGCCCTGGGCAGCCTGGTCTAGTTCCAGAGCTGGAAGTTAGTGGCCCTGCCTGTGGCCAGGGGGTTGGAACTTGATGATCCTTGGGGTCCATTCCAACCCAAACCATTCTATGATCCTGTAATCATCTAATCCAGCTTCCACACCACGCTTACGGAGTGCAGTACTGTTGTGGTCCTTGCTGAATGCTCTGACATGATGCAGCCCCTTGCAGGACAGGCACTGAGCATTTATTTTGCATCATTCCTTTTTAATTTAAATTATAATAGCTTTTAGCCCTGCAAAAATTAAAATATTGCCTCAAAGGAAAAAAATATGGAATATGCACAAAATGCCTAAATGCACTTGTTTCTTTTGGAGTACTTAACGGCTCACACTTAGATATAGGCACAATTTTCAGAAATAATTGGATACTAACCTCTCTATTTTAACATCTCTTTGTCACACAACACTCACATCTATGCCGTAACGAGCTGGTTTTCATCATGGAAATCTACAGCCCATTACAAGATTGCCTGTTCACTGTTCAGAGGAATCATCAGCAAAATTAAGTGACAAATGAGCAGTCTCAGTCTCTCCATTTCCATCCCCTTGCTGCCTGCATGGCTGTGCACCTCACCCGAACGAGGGGTGCCAGATGAGCAGAAGCATCCCTCTGCAGCTCCTGACCCAGGGGCAGACACTGAAAATCCTGGATGGGATTAAGAAGCCTCCCACCCTGCCTGCCTCTTGTCACCTGGTGCTGCTGAGCACCTTCCCTGCTGGTGCGGGATGCAGCTGCTTCCCCCTTGTGCCCCACTCAGCTGCTGTGATTCAACAGTCCATACTGGAAAGAAATTGCATTTGCTCAGTTTCTGCCACCCTTTCTCACAAGATGCCATTTGCAAACACTGACTGCTACAAGTGAGCTGTTGTTCAAGCATTCAGTGTTAGGGAAGGTACAAAAGATGCAGTCTGATATAAGACATAAACACAGTGAATGCTTCTCTAAAAGGAGAATGGTCTATGGAGGGCTGGGCACTGGCTGTAACTCAGAAAGCTCAGAGAAGCTGAGTGTAACCCTTTAAAGATGATAATAAAGTCACTGTGAGTTCTAAGTAAGACTTGCACAGAGCAAAAAAGGAATTTTACTATTTGTTTTTCCTTTCTATCCTCGTGACCACCGCTGGCCTTTGCTCCTACACGCACTCCTCTCAAGTCCAGACAACCAAGAAATGCAAACTGCTCTTCAGGCTGCAGTAATTTCTCAGCAGCGCTGAGAAAAGGCTCCTGCTCCTCCCCCCTCTGCCTTCGTAAAACTGAAGACAAATATTAACTTTGGTTCCTTCCTTCAGCCAAATGCTGCAGGTACCTTTGGTTCCTTTCTGCCATATGTTTTATAGACAAATTGTAGCTATGGACAGAAACAAATAAAAGCGCTCCTTCTTAGGGAAAATAGACCCCAAACTCCAAATTCTATCTGCTGTCTGCCAGGCTTCTTTCACAAGCAGATGCCCTTCTGTTCTCAGACTCTGCAGAGGCTTCAGACGGGCATTTCTCAGAGCAGGCAGGAAGACAATAACAATTAAAAGAATTATTCGGTTCTGGTAAAGCCAGATAAAGACCACGCTCAGAGCAGGAACTCAAAATTATGTCCCTGATGAAATGTAGTTTCTGGTCACAGTCATTTCCTCCTTCAGAGCAAAACAAAACAAGCAAAAAGACAACAGCACAACAAAAGAAAACTTGTCCCCAAACAAATCAAAGCAAAAGAAAAATAAAAAATCAGCCCCAAACAAATCTTAAGGACAAGCTTGCAAGAGCTTTCCCTGTGCTTTGCAGAGACTGCAGCGTGACCTGCGTTACTGCAAACCAGCTGCACAAAGCCACCTCTTATTTTGTTACCAAACCGAGTGGAAAAGCATGAATCAAAGTGCAAATACTTCAGAGCTTTAACGTTAAATCTGCAAACGTGACAGAAAATCACATATGGTCAGTCGTACCACAAACACGACGCCGCAGTCCTAAATCCAGCTGGTCTCCTTTATCACAACAGGATGCGTCTGTCTAGCAGTAGTCACCCAAAGAACAAAGTCATCTCGTGTCTGGAAGATAACAAGTTGGAAGGAGTCATGTTCAAGGATTTCAGCTTAATTAATAGCCATAGATGTTGTTATCCTCTGCCTCTAGCTTTGCTTTTAGTTTTTTTCAGACACACTCTCATTTAACAAACAGAAAACAATCAAGAAAATTAAACACAGTAACTCAGTTAAGCATTTTTTTGGGAAATAGACACAATAAACATACATTTTAGATTTTTACTGTACAATATTTATGTCTCCCCAGGGGGACAGGACTATTATGGCACTAATTTGTTTAACACAAACAAGCACGACTATTCTGAAAACGAGAACTGCGAAGAGATGCATTTTAATCTGTACCCAAAGACAGAGCTGACAAAACATACTCACACGTGCAAAGGGAGCGCCTGGAACGAAGCTAAGCTCGGGTTATTTGCACAAATAGGTATTATTTTTCCCCCAGCAGAGATGACAGTAAAAGTACTCCTGTCACCATCACAGCCTCCTGCAATGCTAATGTTGAGTGTCTGTGTGTGTGCATGTGCGCAGGCAGCTTTTGTTAACGTTTGTCTACCAAATTATAATAGGTGTCTTTCCTTGTGCGCTGGCTTGTGAGATAGAGGTTTCAAAGACAAAACAGAGCCCTGCCTTTAATACAGCATTATCAGAGGCATCTCCCTCGGGGAGGTGTTAGGGTCATCGTGCTGACACCAAGATGAGATATGCGCTTCTTTGAGAGAGACTGCCACAAAGCGCTTCAGAGAATGGCTGCTCAGCTAACGGATGTGCATAATTACTGCTCGCGATGGCAGGTTTTGACAGGCAGACACCAGAGGTAGCACAAAGACATGCAATGGTGCTGCTGAGCTTGCAACTCGTTCACTTGGCATCCTCCCAGCTGAACTCCTGCCAGAAATACCATTTTTTATGGCACGCTCACAGGTATTTAGAGACCCCAGCCTGCAGCTCCTCTCTCAGATCAGCATCAGAAGCAGATGTGTATGCCCAGCCTGCCCTCGCCCACATCACAAATGGATGAAGATGCTGCTAGAGGAGGAAAACTGCTGGAGTGCGCCCAGAGAAGGGTCACAAAGATGATCAGAGTGCTGGAGCACCTCTCCTAATGAATAAGGGTTGAGAGAACAGGTTCATTACATCTGGAGAAGAGAAGGCCGCAGGGAGACCTCACTCCAACATTCCTGTACAGTATTTAAAGGGATCTTATAAGTAGGAGCAGGACTGACACTTTACATCATGTGACAGTAATAGGACAAGGGGGAATGGCCTTAAACTGCAAGTGGAAAGATTTAGGTTAGATGTTAGGAAGAAAATTCTTTACTCAGAGGGTGGCTGGCACAGCTGCCCAGAGAAGCTGTGGTGCCCCATCCCTGGAGGTGCTCAAGGCAGGGTTGGATGGGGCACTGGGCAGCCTGATCTGATGGGTTGCAGCCCTGCCCACGGCAGGCGGTTGGGTGGGCTTTCAGGTCCCTTCCAACCCAAACCATTCTGTGATGCTATGAAACACCATCCATCCCTGGTGTGGAAGCAGTCACCATCAACAGGGTACTGCAACACTGGAGGAAGCCCAAGTCCAAAAGTGTAAAATTTAAATTTATGGGCAGACAGGTCGTTGCTGCAGAAATACTTCTATGGAGGCCAGCCAGCCTAACTCAGAGTGAAAGGATGGGGATCACGTCTCGCTTTCAGTGTCACAGCTATAATGTATGCATTGGGTGAAATGGAGAAGACAAACTGATGGAGCATGTTTCCCCATGCCTTGTCCCTGCACCCCCACACAGCTGGGGACATGGTTTGTGAATCCATCTGTTCCTGCCCTGCAGGTACACCTGTCTCAGGAGTTTCCATCCAAACTGACCAAAGGTTCAGAGAACCGTGTGTGTGGTACACCAGTGTGCACTGGTTTTGAAGATGAGATGGAGGCGTGGGAATCTCAGTGTGGGAAAGGCCAGCATGTGGCTGGGGGGCAGCAGGAGCCCCATCACACACTGCAACCATGTTTTGAAAGGTTTTATAAACAAATCCAAAGGGGGCTATTGCATCTGCCATTCTGTGTACAGAAGGCATGAAAAAAATTATTGTAAATGGGGTTAGTAAATAGAAATCAAACTGCAAATAATGAAACTACATAAATAATACAGCAATGATGATTAGATTGCTGTATTTTGAGTGGATTTGAGGCAGATGTGAAACAGGTGGTAATTATTTGCTACAGAGTAACTGCAATTTACTTGAATTAACTGCACAATACATTTTGGCCACAAATGCTTGTATTAATGCACTGCTTTCTGAACTTCTTTGGAAAAAAAAAAAATTAGTAGCAGATCAGGTTGCGTTTTACTACAGAACTTGCATTTTCTTTATCCTCAATAAAAACCAAACCTTCAGGCAGACCCTGAGCTCAGGCAAGCTGCCAGGACAGCAAAGACAAGCAGGTCCAGGCAGAAAATGAACGCTGGCTCTGTGCAGGAGCTCCCTTACAGCTGGTTTCACCCCAAACACCAACACCACAGCCCATGCCATACAGTCAGCCCCAGCCTGTAAGCTTCCTCAGCACTACAGCACCCTCAGCACATACAGGCTTGTAGGAGACCTCTCAGCCAAACTCCCCAAACTCCTAAAAATTAACACCAAGCGACCATGAGATCCTCGGGCGGTGGGAAATGGCAAATGTGCTGTTATGCTCCACTGGAAACGTTACCATGCTGGCAGAGGAGAGAGGCTGAAGGGCGACAATTAATTATCACATTACCTCCTGCTTGGTTTATTTTATTCTTAAAATCTGTATCTGGAAAGCCCTGCTTTAGATCAAGCTGTGCCAGGAGCTCATGCTGCTGTGGCTCGGTTGCCCAGCCACAGGCAGGCCTGCTCCATCTCCCCTCCTTCCAGGACCATAAACTAATTACAGCCATGCTCCAGCAGAAGCTTCCTGTTGGGTTGGCATGCCATCCTTTTAGCGCACAACCATGAAAAATCTTAATTTGCTTTAGAGGAGTCTGCTAGTCACATTAATAAATTACGACGCCAAAATAAGAATAGCACCGCCTGGAAAAAAAGCAAGCACTGAGCAAAAAGCATTACAACCGCTGCACAAAGCACGTATTTGCTATATTTAGATTTTCACCCTACAGGCTGATAATCCCAAAGTGGAACAAGAAACCTGCTGAATCACTACAGTGTAAAACGGCACTCTTTTGAGCAGCACGTGCTTTCAGTACGTGCGTTACAGGAAACCCACACCTGGCTCAGGCACACAGCAGGACTGCGGGAGCGCTTCTGCCAGGGCTCAGCCCCGCTGGCCCCTACACATTGGTGACAGCAACAGAATGTGGGGGGGAAAAAGTAGTGACCCTCACCAGAACTCCCATCACTCCTGGTATGGGGCTCCTGCTCGCCTCAATGCTGCGGTACCATATGGCCGCCTGCAGCAGGGCTTTCAATAACGCCTTCTTAAAAATAATACCCTTTTTCTCTCAACAAGCTTTACAAATCAATACAGAAAAAGAACACTTGAATTAAGCAGATGCTTACGATGTTCCTCCTGGCAATTTACGTGATTTATTGAGTTATACCGCTATCGTCGTCTTTTTTTCTTTTTCCCTTTAAACCAGATTAAGTCTGAACAGCAGCCAGCAACTCAAACATTTTTCCATTTTTTTAATTTATATTTTATTTTGTTATATTTTTAGTTAAATAAAACTTAGGGAAGAGTACAGTAGCTACAAGACCTAAGAGCCAGGATGTGCAATTAATCAGATTTGAGAAGCAAGCACCGTTTATCTCCATAAAACAAACAGAATCTATTCTATTAAGAAAATCCATTCAAATCACAAATGTGACTGCTGCTAGTGAGAATATTTTGCTTGGCAAAGGGCCAAAAGGTTCTAAAATTATGTATTCTATTTTTATGTCCTCCCTGGATTGGATTAGTTACTAAGGCAACTGAAGAGTTCCGTCCTGCTGGTTAACAGCTATACTGTACTCCATAAAATCAGCTACTATATAAGTCTAAGCGCCCGCAAAGCAAAGGCAGCACGCTGCTCTTTGGAGGCTATTTGCTAATGGGTGGTTTTGTACAACCAACCTCCCTTCCTCACATTTTAAATGCAGGTAATTAGATCTGGGCCTTGGGCCTTTTCAAGTTTCATTTCTGGGTTGTACTTTTAAGAAAAAAGAAGGAGGAAACCTCTCCAAATGAGCATCCTCTTTGACAAGGGAATTTGATCACTTTTCATTTCCTAAAGGTGCCACAAGTGAATCAGAGAGATGTCAGTGCAATGCATGCTCTTTGGTGCACTGAATAGAAATAGGACATGGTTTAATAGAAAAAGTGGCAAGAAAGATAAAGAAGATGCCCTGAAATAGCTCTCACTCCCAGAAACATACAAGAACTTTAGCATAAAAGCACACTATCTGCAGCACCCTTTAAGTACCACATAAAGGTCCATGAAGGTCATATTTTTAGCTGATCCACTGCTCGCAGGTTTAATTACATGCTTTCTTCATGTGGACATACCTTTGTCACCGGGGAGGAGAACAGTATTGCAAGCCTCTGAGGACTGCACTCTGTTTACTGATGCAGAAGCCGTATAAAAGTCCCCTTGTGCAACTTCACAAGTTGTCTGCCAAAAGCACCTTGAACAGCATCAAATCCAAAGCTGATGGACAGCTTGAGGGTTGAGTCCTTTGGCTTGCGTGTTCCTTCTTAACAACCTCAGACAGTCAGCTAGATCCAGTCTTCTCTCCTTTTGCAAATTCAGAACCATTTGAAGATGATGTTATTCTGAAGGACAAGAACACATGTTTGTGCAACAGCTGCCACATTGAGCATTCTGGGATTGTTCAGTATTGTTCAGTCTGGAGAAGAGGAGGCTCAAGGGAGACTTCAACCCTCTTTACAACAATCTGAAGGGAGATCATAGTGAGGTGGGAGTCAGCCTCTTCTCCCAGATAACAGTGATAACAGGACAAGAGGTCAGCGACAGGCCTAAAGTTGTGACAGGGGAGGTGCAGTTTGGATATGAGGAAGAATCTCTTCTCAGAAAGAGTGGTGAGGCAACGGCACAGGCTGCCCAGGGAGATGTTGAAGAACCGTGTGGATATGGCTCTGAGGGATGTGGTCAGTGGGCATGGTGGGGCTGAGTGGAGGGTTGGACTAGGTGATCTTAATGGTGTTTTCCAACCTTAAGGATTCTGTAATCTTTCCAGCTCAAGTGCAATGAGGTCAGGTTAACTTCCTTTCCAGGCTACAACAAAAAGTAATAATACCACAGCTGATAAAGCTGGCAAGTCATTTCTAGCTCAGGATGCTCCACGTTGCCAGGCAGGATTTCTCTTCCCTGTTCAAACCATTAGGAAACACCTGGTTAGCAAACAGACACACTGGGCCATGTGTCAGTCCCAC